CTGATATACAGCAAAGCTTGACCTATACCCCTGTAGTCGCTTGGGCAGTCTCGAGGGGAACCCCACTGGACCCACCCGTTCCCTCGGCAACTGGGGCGCCGGCCAATCCGCAGCCTCCTGCAGGCCCCTGGGTCAGGCATTGGTCGCCATTAAAAGGGGGCGGGAGTTTAAAGTGGGTTTGGGGGAGAGGGCGAGGCTGAGGGGCGTGGCCGGTGTGAGCAAGAGGGTGAGGCGGAGCGACATAAGATGCCCACCCGCCCGCCCTCCACAGCCTCGTTGCCTTTTCTTCTCTTTCCCCTCTTTCCCTTCCCAGCTCCAGAATGCAGGGAGGAGAGGAAGTAGCAGGGAACACCTGTTTTGAGCAGAGTGGGCGCCCAATAATTGTTAATAGACAAGCCAACACCGAAATCCATTTCTGCTTTAGCAGAAAGCTAATGCCGCTCTGTTCCCCCATCCACACTGGCTAGTAATGAACATAAGGGCTTCCCCCAGGTTGGTCATAGTAACCTACTCCACTTTCAAATTAGTATCTGCCGTAATTTTGATAACCTGGGTCCAGAACCTGAACTCTGATTTAATGACAGAACTGCGAAATTACGTGGCACCTTTCAACTTAGTAGTTGGGCAAGTGTTACTGGAATCAGATTGCCTGAGTTAAAATCCCTGCTCTGCCCCTTAATAGCTGTGTGACTTGAGCAAAATTACTGAATCCACTACTGTATCCATTGTTTTACCTATAAAACTCAATAATAACTCAGATACATGCAAAGTGCCTAACACAGTGCCTGACCCTAAATAAATGCCAGCTCTTCTTTTTCTTAAATCTATTAGAAGTAAGTGCTAATTCCCTGAAGGTAAGACTATCTGATTTATCAAAATATCCTCCTGGCTCATAGGACAGACTCAATAAATGCTGTGTGAGATGAATTCAAGCCAGAAATTAAATCTCCATTTTAAATCCATTTAATATTTATAGAGAGCCTAGCCTGTGCCAAGTCCTTTGTTAAAATTAACTTTCAGGGATTCAAGCATGCGGGAGACAGTCTATCCAGGTAGACAGATTATAAACAAATTAATTACAATATAGTAAGGCTGCTAACAGAGGAATACAGGGAGCCCAGAGGATACTGGAATACTGGTTAAAAAACTTTACTAAACCCATCCAGCTGTGTTTAGAGAAAATCTTGAACCAGAACCAAGGCCCTGGTGGATGGTTGAACATGATCTTTGAGGTGATGGTGAAGACTGGGTCATCCTATTATTCAAGATTCAACATGCCCCATTTGAAAATTAGTTGTACCTGAGTATGTGCTGAGATGGTAACTAAATCTTGGGCAAATAGGACATTTTTGAGTTTGACTCTAGAAGCACTGCTTCTCTACCTTGGCCTCCACCATCTCGGTTCAGTGGCTACCCCTGTACAAATACAGAACTGGTGAGGGAGAAAAGGGGAAACTATCAAACAGCCAAAAGCAACACTCTTGCTTACTTCTTCACTGTCTGACACTGGACTCCAGCACTAGGAGACTTGTAAGAAAGAGAAAAATAGACCCTGACATCCAGAAAATGGCCTGACACTCACAGCTAGGTTTTCATGTTTTCCTATTAAAGACAGTTTCACAGAACATCAATGTCAGAGACAGCAGCTCAATAACTATGAGGAAGTAAGACCAAAAATAAGACCACTCAGTAATCTTGTCTGAATATGACAAAAACAAAGTTGCTGGCAAACCACAAAAACACCAAACAACACCCAATCCTGACTAATATGAATGACTGCTACGTTTTTACCAGTTATAATGTTAGCAGCATTCCAGTCCTCCTGCCTTGTAGATGAGATTTATTTAGAATATCCCACGATGGGTGGGGTATAGCTTAGTGGTAGCGTGACTGCTTAGCATGCACGAGGTCCTGGGTTCCATCCCCAGAATCTTGTTTAAAAAAAAAAAGAATATTCCATCATAGAATTGTCCATGCTTCCCAACAACATTCAATCTAGAAGAGTTCTGCTTCCTTAAACCCCAACCAAAATCACCTAACTTGGACCCAAATCTTTTAAGTCCTTTTCTGACACCCTGTTACTCAGATGCCTTGTGGTTGGTTCCCC